TATGGAATTCCCATCATTTCATATTTAATATTGTTTTAACACTGATACCTTTCAATAAAAAAATTTCATAAACTCTATAAATTAAAATAAACAAATCAAACAAAATAATGTATAAAAACCTGATTCAAAATAAATTTAAATTATAAGGACACGTGGATTATTATTTTCCTATTTATTTTAGCAGAAATTTTTTTATATACTTAAAATAAATATAAAATCGATCTGATTTCAATGTTTAATATTGTGCAGAGATGTTCAATATCAGTGATAGCTGGAGCCTTAGATGGGCTTCCAGGGTTTATAACAGCGCAAGGAAGAACAAATCCAAATGATGCAAATGGGTTTGTGTTTAAACATTGTCATGTGTTTGGGAATGGCACAACATATTTGGGAAGGCCTTGGAGAAGTTACTCAAGAGTCCTCTTCTACAAAACCAATATGTCTCAAGTTGTGGAACCTAAGGGTTGGCAGCCGTGGAATTTTGCTACTAATGTGTAAGTTATCAATCTTATAGTATGCGTTTTTTTCGTCAAAAAAAAAAAAGAAAAGAAAAAACCATTTTGTTTTTACGCATATTTTAATTTCACTCAATTGTTAATTTAGTATCTATTTCTTTTTTTTCATTAAATCATTTAACATTGCTTTTTAGTATTGTTAGCTTTTATGACTTTGATTTGTTAGTACCATTAGCCCCTATACAGGAGCTAATTGTACTAGTAGAGCTAAATTGGAAGATTTAATCAAGAGATAAAAATGCATATGTACCAAATTGAAAATTATACAAAAGTATAGGTATCTACAAAACGTTTTTTAAAAAAATTTAAAAAAAAGGATAAAATGCATGAGTTATCCGTTGAAGTTTAGAGTGTATTATTGAGATTTTTCTTGAATTTTGTTGAAAAATATAAAAAAATCAATATTTTACATCCCTTAATATGAAAATTTATCTTTAATTTTTTTCTAACAATTATGCAAACCTTCATTTTCATTTATGAAATGGGTTAATACTATTTTTAGTCCTTGGAATTTAACTTTATTTTAGTTTTGGTTCTTGAAATAAGTTTCAAGGGAAAAAAATGTTTAGACAGGTCAAAATAAATTCAAATTTTATTGATTCAAATTTTAGAAATTAAAACTAAAAGAAGATCAAATTTCAGGAATCAAAGATTTTATTAACCTTTAATAAATTATACAAATACATTTTCCTAAAAGAAAGGATAAATTACACTTGCCTCTTTTCTTCTTAATTAATATTCAAATGAAAGGGACAACTATGTAGTTTTCAAAAAAAATTCATGGAATAATGCTTTATGTATTGCCATGAAAATCATAATAAAAAAGTTGGTGTTTTGATGATTTTGAACTAAAATTTGCAGGAATCGGGTAACATTTGCAGAGTATGATTGCTTTGGGCCTGGGTCTAACACATCCCAAAGAGTGAGCTGGTCCAAGAACAAGCTTGATTCACTATATGTGGATCAAATGGCTAATATGAGTTTTATTGATTCTGAAGGATGGCTTCAGAATCAACTTTTCTAATTTTGATTCCACTTGTAATTACTAATTAATTAGGACTTTTTCCATATGCTAGTAGCATTTCATAGATTGGTTGGTTATCATGACTTCCTGTACATTTTTTTTTGTTTTTTGTTTTTAATTAGACTTGATTGAATTTAGTACATTGGATGAACTGAGAGAAATAAGCTGTGCATTATTTACAGCTTATAATTACTATGATTTATTATTAGATATTTTATATTATATTTCATAGATTGGTTGGTTATCATGACTTCCTGTACATTTTTTTTGTTTTTTGTTTTTAATTAGACTTGATTGAATTTAGTACATTGGATGAACTGAGAGAAATAAGCTGTGCATTATTTACAGCTTATAATTACTATGATTTATTATTAGATATTGTATATTATATTTTAATTTTAATTGATCTCCACATCTTCATTCGATCTTCAAATTTCAAAGTCAAATTAAAACCATTGTCATAAAAATGAATTAAGATTGATTTGTTTCCCCGGGCTAACTAATAAATATGACTCATACACAGCCTAAAAAAAAAATTGTTATCACTTGTAAGAATTCTACAGGAACAATTAAAAAAACATATCACAAAAACTAATCAGTAAAATCGATTACAACAAGAGGTACTAAAATTGTTAAAGTGAAAAATTCCTCCAGACAAAAGTAAATTAAAAAAAAAAAACAATGAATCCTCCAGGCTAATGAAACGAACTCTATTATAATTAAAAGGGTTAAGGTGCATTCAGCACCCTAAAATATTTTGTCAGATGCAACCAACACCTTAAAGTATTTTGTGGTGCGTCCAGTACTCTGAAGTATTTTTTTTTTTTGCATGGGCGCTGGATGCATCAAAAAATATTTTTGGGTGCCAGATGCACCTAAAAAAAATACTTTGAAATGCTGGATGCACTAAAAAAATAATTTGCGGTGCTAGATGCACATAAAAAAATATTTAAGAATACTAGATGCACCACAAAATACTTTAAGGTGCTGGATGCATTTAGGAAAATACTTCGGGGTACTGGATGCAACTTAACCCTAATTAAAATAAGAGTACAAATTTCGCCAAAAGAAAATGAGAGTACAAAAAACAATTAAAGAGTCTAGAGCCAAAAAAAAAAAAAAGTTTAACAACGGTTACACGATCATAATAACAAGCTTACAAGTTACAACAAAGAATGAACAAGATAAAAGAAAACCCCAAAATAGTGGTTGTATGGTGAACTAAATAACTCACACTTGGAAATACGGGCTGGCCGTACAAAGTCGCGAGCTAGTCTTCTAGGGCCAGAATTTTAGAAATATCTCATTTTACTAGGCCTGGCTTTTAGTTGACAGGCTCAAGACTGGCACATGGGTTTTTGGCTCATTTAAGAAAAAAAAAGTACAATTTTTTATATTTTCCACATGTTTTATACAAAATAAAATAAAAATAAAGCAATGAAATTACTAATAAACGGTATAAATATGAATAAAATTAAGTGACAAACACAAAACATCATCATATAAACATTAATTAACATTTTAAAACATCTAAAACATCCATCAACAAAAGAATAACATCCAAAAGTTTCATCAACGGTACAAATATGAAATAGACAAGCACTATCATCAATTTTTTGAAATTTCATCACCACTATCATCATTTGCTCTTCTCCATGAATATGCTCTTCTTTAGTTTCAAAAATATCAAGTTTTCCTTCTTCATAAAAAATTTCACTTTTAAATTTTGCAATATTTACTTTAGTTTGGGATGCATTATTATTGAAACTCATAAAATTTTAATTCAAATTATAGAATCACAAGTTATATCAGTATAAAAATACTGTCTTATCAAATATATAGTTTAAAATTATCAACACATAAAATAAATCAAATTATTATTAAAGTCCAAATTAACCCCTTTTTTAAAAATTTAATTGAATAAATTATTGTCTAAAAACCAAATAAATCAAACCATTTTATGAAATTTAGTTTCAAAATGATAATAATAACTAAAAATTTTAAATATCATTAACAATATAAAAAATTAATAATATTAGCATTATATAAAAATTTTAAAGAAAAAAACCATAAAAAGCCCAAGATAGGCTAGCCTGTTTAAGCTCTCGACTTTACAGATCCTGCCCTTTTAAGCCCTTTTTTCATTTAAAGATGAAAATTTCAAACTCAATCCTTATAATTTTGGAGCGTAAATAGGCTCGGTCCTTTTTTCTGACTCTACACACTAGGTTATGTATTGATAATCCAACCACAGCTTCATTCAACGGTTAAAGAATCAAAAACTGAATATTTAGCAAGACTGACATGTGAACATGTGAAAATTTTTCTTCCAAGTAGTTGCACTTTTCTCTTGAATATACTAAGACCTCGGTCTCAAACCTTAATTTGACATGTTTCTCTTGAATATACCAAGACCTCGGTCTCAAACCTTAATTTGACATGTCTCTATTTTAGTTAGTGAGATATAAATGGGTTCCAAATATTTAGCCTTTCTCCATGTAAGAAGAGAACACATAATCAACATATCTCATCCTCATCACCATGCACGTGGAGGTGTGGCTACCAACCAGATAGCAAAGAACCTCCAAAATGATAATCTTAAGCAATTAAGAAATTTATTTTTGTGGGCTTTTAACGCAGAGATAAAAAAATCGTCAAATAACTTAGACTTGAATATCTAAAGTTTGAAGAATCATCCTTCAAAATGCTTGATACTGTACTTAGAGGGTGGGGAAAAAACAAACCTTTGCTGTATTCTAGAACTTCTAAAAGATTACTACTTCGGTTCTTAATATAAACTATTTGTAACAGATTCTCACATACTAAAAAATGTATTAAATTAAAAAGATTTTGTAATATAATCCTTATAGTTCTCTCTATCCATATTTACAAATCATTTTTATATCTTTTTTTTAAAAAAAATCATTTTTATATCTTCATCTTTTTTCTCTCCTGAGAATTAAATAAGGCTATAAAAGTAGAAAATAAGTTACTTTTGTAACTAAAACTTCTTTCCTACGAGTGACTTATATTATATTTCTAAAAGATAATTGGATGCTCTATTAAATGTAACCTGTATTACAAAAGTTGCAGAGCTGAAAGGGAGATAATTGGGCAGTTGAGATGGTCGACCCTGGAGACGCACATAAGCAATTTGCAGAAACAAATTTTGCAAATTCCCAAAACCAGCAAGTCTCGTGCTTCCCTTAAATTCTCTCTTCTTTCCACCTAACCCTCTGATCTCTAAATTAATTTTGAAGCATTCAACTTCTGCCGTCTTCGGAATTATAAGACAGCTCGTTAAGTTACTTAGTCAGCTTCATCGCCATGATTCACTACAAGCTTTTATTACTCTCAACTGTCCACCACATGAACCTTCTTCTATAAGAGAATACTCTGCCATGCAACACAACACAACACAACACGACTCATTTTTCTCCGTTGATATCTGAGAGAGAGAGATGGCGAAATTTGCTGCTGTGATGGTCCTGTTTGTACTGGTTCTGGTGCATGCAAGTGGTCGTGAAGTGCCTAGTGATTATGATGGAGAAGATGAAGAAACTGTAATGCATGAGAGTGTTTCAGCTGTGACAAGTGGAATTAATGGTGTTGGGGATGAGAAGAACTTCGTTTATGGTGGTGGGGTTGGTGGGTTTGGAGGCATGGGTGGCTATGTTGGGGCCGGTGGAGCTGGAATCGGCGGTGTCGCTGGAATAGGTGGCTTTAAAGGCATCGCTGGCGGCCTTGGCCACAGTCTCGGTGGCTTAGGTGGAGTTGGCGGCCTTGGCCACAGTCTCGGTGGCTTAGGTGGAGTTGGCGGCCTTGGCGGCATAGGTGGCGCCGGTGGTGTTGGAGGACTAGGTGGTGCTGGCGGTACTGGCGGCATTGGCGGCGGGTTTGGTGGTGCTGGTGGTGGTGCTGGTGGGCTTGGTGGGGCTGGCGGCGGTTCTGGTGCCCGCAGCATTGGTGGTGTTGGTGGTGCTGGAGGCCTTGGTGGTGCAAGTGGCGGCTCTGTTCACCCTCTCAATCCTTAGCTTGTTCCCATGTTGTTCTACTACTAATTGCCCGTTGATTGATTGTGCTAGTAGTAAAGTATTTTCTGAGTTTAGTGAAGTTCTAGGTTTGTCTGGCTTAAGATTATGTAGGATTTTAGTCCAAGCTTTGGTATTATGGGATATTAAGAATTAGTAAAACAAATTACTCATGAGTAGATATATATGTCATGAATGATGCATATTCATCTATTCATGATTAATTTAATTACTTATTTTTAAATCCCCTATACATGTTGAATCAACGGGCAAGTAGGGAGATGTGATATTGTTGCATGTTGTAATCCGTAGTAGTAAGAGAAAAATCTATGCCTCGGAGCGATTATATTGCTGGTGTGTCTCAAATTCATAGTCATACGTCCTGTCCTAAATTATAAAAAATAATACTCTTCCGGTTTTTAACGTAGGACTTAATTGTTGAGTTGATTTTGAACCTAAATGTAAGATATATTTACCATATTTACTAATTTTTTTTTAAAATTACCTCCATTGATATTCTCTCAACTATAATCAAATAGGAGAAGGAGGAAAGATATTAAGAAAGATAATTCTGGTGTTTTAAAAGAAAATGTCATATTCGTCCTTAATGTATGACCTAATTGAGGAGTTGATGTTGGTCTTTTATATAAGACCTATTTTGCATGTTTATCAAAAAAAATTTTCTAAATTAAGTCTATTGATATTTCCCTAACAATAATCAAATAGAAAAGGGAAAGAGGTAACTTAGGAAGATACTTAGGGTGTTTAAAAAAAATATTATATTAACTAATTTAACTAACATCCTTAATTTACTCAAATTAGTTAATTAGATCATAGATTAAGGACTGGATGTGTATTTCTTATAATTAAGTAACTTATCTAACTTTCTTAATCTAATCAAATTAATTAAATGTTACATTGAAAATTAGAAGAGTAGCAAACATTATCCCATTAGATAGAGTGGAGTATAAGGATCGGATAACAGCGAGAACCACAATATTTTGATAAATTATTACCTGAGAGATTTTCTTTGTTTTAATATAATTTTGTTGAGCATTCTCTTTGATCTTGCCCACATACTTTCTTTGTACATGTTTAAATCATCTCAAACAATTTTATATCATTTTTTATCTGTAGGCAACATGCTAGTTCTTCCTCATACATGTTTTTTTTTTTAATCAATTAATTTTAGGAAAGGGGTCATGCTCACCCACTATCTAAGGGCAGGACACCTAACGCTTGATCTATTAGGGTCTATCCCTATGGGCACGGGAACATAACAAGTAAGTCTTTTTTTCCTGACCCAATAGATAAGAATCTCCCAGCGTCACTATGCTGTGGTGATGTCTCTCCTAGCACCGCAACTAGAGTAATAATAGAGTGACACTCCCCAAGATCGAATCCTCTCTCTTTGGTGAGAGAGTCCGACCCCTTCGCCAACTGAACCCATAGACGAGGGGTTCCTCATACATGTTTATTAAGAATTATATCCATCCATTATCATTCAGCAACGTTATCTTTCATTATTTTTAATTATATTACACATTTAAAAGGATGGTTTCCATTTACATTTATATGATATTTTTATTTTTTTGAGAACTATATGATATTCGATATCGCTGGCTAACTAAAATTTAGTCTTTTTTATAGTTATGAAAGGTCTAAATAGAAAAATTTTTTCGCTACTATAAAAATGAATTTTTAGACTGGTTAAAAGTGACTTTGTAGATTGTACTTGGAACTGGTTTAGGAAAAAGACAGTTTTTTAATAAAAAGATCAATTATATTAAAATGAAAATATTATACACCTAAAGTCACTGATTCATGATTCGGGGAGCGGGAAGGCAATAAAACATTAGTAATAAACAAGGAATGACTAGAAAAGGCTTGGAGCAGTGAATGAACATCCTTGTGCAAGGTTCCACTGAATTTTGAGTGAAGCAAGAAAGCGTTGGGAAAATTGTTCTTATATGCAACAATGTTGATATGAGACAATGAAGCAGAGAAAGTAGAGGCAACTTGGATCACCCAATGCAGCATCAATCTTAGGCAGGATAAGCAAAATAGGCGAGGATCAGAGGACTACAGTTTCACCAATCTTAATGGTATTCGGGCATACCTGAAGTGTCGAGTAATCTCAGATTAGGTAGCCACGCGCGGAATTCCGATCACGATAATGGAATGGGAATCAACGCTCACAGCAAATGCACTTTTGTGTTGGAGGAGGAGAGGAGAGGAGATACGCAGGCGGGAAGTGTTGGGACCAGTTGAATGAATCAGTTTATTTTAAACTGATCCTATCTCTTAAAACAAAAACTACCACCCCCGTCTGTCCTTATCCATATTATGAAGGAAAAATTGCAAATAACCATTTAAGACCCACAGGTTATGTTATTTGCATTAGAGCCCCAAATTTAATGGGCTTGGGCCCAATCCACCAAGGGTGGACTGGCCCATTTTCCTACATCTCCCACTCACACTTGGTGGATTAGGTGTCAAGGGTCTCGTCTCTTCGCCTCCCCTTAGTTTCATACTTAGTGCTTTGCCGTGACCGCGTGGGCATGACGTCTTCATTTGGGTGCCTGTACTAGAAATCCTTTTATAGGACCAGCACAAGTTACCTTCTCCTTTTGTGTAGCGCAAATTTTAAAATTATGCCTCAGATGTCCTAGATTTACTTATATACACTTTTTTCATGGTAAATATAATCCCTCTCGAGTCAAAAGTTGACTCAGATTACCTTTCTCTTATGTCTAGTATCCACACTTACGACCACAAAATTTCATAAGGGACATGTCACAGACACTAGCATAGGTGTGTATATCACAGTCAATCTTCCTTTCGCCCAAACATCACTTTGAAATGAATCAGTCGCTTTCTTAGCATACTGCCTTAGATCGCATTAATCATGACCATAGGACATATGCCAAAGTAGCAGTCACTGAAACATATCTTCATGATATTGTCAAAGTCAAAGGACACCAATAGGAGGATAATTCCTCCCTGGGACTCACACAGCAATGAAGCAGGGATCTTTCACTTGCTTCCCTTTTGCAGTTCTCTCAGCACATGTGGTATGAAACACATGCTACGATGTTACTCTTTTACTATAAGAGTGTATGTCGATTTAGATTTATTATTAACACCGTACAGACTTAGGTCCAGACACACTCAGTATCTAAACCCAAATTCTTCAATTCTGCTCATTGTTATGACGTCGACGTTGAAGAGTTTGTTGTCTGGCTACAGGTATTATGGAAGTGGGATTCCAAACTTCGATCCAACTTTATCAACATGGATCTCATCTTGACTTGCTACACTTTAGTCAAGGCGACATAAAGTTTGTGTTTCTTCTCTACCATATCAGCATTCATCGCTGCTTTACTGGTGAACACAAATGTCTCATCTTTGTTCACTCCACATGAGTGTCAAAGGCGGTTGCCCGTGTGAGAGAGTCAACCTTTTTTAACCTGTACGACATACTAGACATTGTATACTTTCGGACAAACACATAAAGTGATAGCGAAATACAATTTCATTAATGAAGCGTTCATATTACACTTTACGTATGCCAAGGGCTTGTACATGTTCTTTAAAAACTTTTTCGCCTATTGGCTTTGTCAGAGGATCTGCTACCATACATTTGGTTGAAATATATTGTACAGTAACAATCTTCTGTGCTATGTAATCTCTAACAAAATTATACTTGATGTCAATATGCTTGGTTTTGCTGTGATACTTAGGATCTTTAGTATAGGCTATGGCTGCAGTATTGTCACAGTATACCATCACTGGACTGGTACTCTCGTTTCCAAATCCAAGGTGTTCTATAAATCTCTTCAGCCATAAAGCCTCTTGCACTGCTGCAGTGCAAGCCACAAACTCAGCTTCCATCGAATGTAAGGCAATGCACGTTTGCTTCTTGCTACTCCAACATATGGCGCCATTGTTGAGTAAGAAGGTATAACCTGAAGTTGACTTCTTCTTCTTCTTCATCTCCGCCTACATCAGCATCGGAGTACCCAACAAGACACAGGTCACCTCCTTCATAGCACAGTGCATAATTGGAAGTTCCCTTTAAGTACCTCAAGATCCTCTTCACTGCTTTCCAATGCTTTTCACCGGGGTTAGACTGGAATCTGCTCACCAGTCCCACTGCATAACAGATGTCTGGTCTTGTACACATCATTGCGTACATCAGACTACCAACAGCACTGGCATATGGAACTCTTTCCATCTTCTTTTTATCAGATTCGGTTTTGGGACACATGTCAGAACTCAAAGCCACTCCAGTGGCAACGGGTGTACTCATGGGATTGCAGTCTTTCATGTTAAATCGCTCAAGAATCTTGTTGATATAATTCTCTTGTGAAAGAGAGAGGATTCGTTTTGAACGATTTCTTTGGATCTTAACTCCAAGTATATACTCTGCTTCACCCATGTCTTTCATTTCAAAATTCGACGAAAGCCATTCTTTAATAGCCACCACCGAATCTAGACTATTTCCGGCTAATAGTATATCGTCTACATATAAGGATAATATGACAAAATTACCCTCAAACCGCTTAATGTAGACGCAGTGGTCTTCCTCTATCATTTGGAAGTTATATGAGGTTATTGCTTTGTGAAACCTCAAATACCACTGTCTGGATGACTGTTTCAATCCATAAATGGACCTTTTGAGTTTACAAACTTTATTTTCTTTTCCTTTTTCAATGAAACCTAATGGTTGTTCCATATAGATTTCTTCATCCAGATCACCATTCAGAAATGCGGTTTTTACATCCATCTGATGTAATTCTAGATCTAAACTGTTTACTATTGCCAGAATAAGTCTAATAGAATTGAAACGCACAACAGGTGAGAATGTATCTTCATAATCTATTCCTTCCTGTTGTGTGTACCCCTTTGCCACTAATCGAGCCTTGTATTTGTCAATTGATCCATCCACTTTTCTTAATTTTGAGAACCCACTTGTTCCCAATGGCTTTACGCCCTTTTGG